TCTTTCCCTTCTCAGTCAGAGCCCTGTAGGGACCAGCAAACTAGCAGAATGTTCACAGGATGGAAACAATCCTGAACCAGGCTGCCTAGGAGTCAGTGCCTGGGTCTCATTACTGTCCTTGCTGCCTCAGTTTCTACTCTGTCATGGCAAATTCTTCCTAATTTAGGCCAAACTGGGCAGCTAGGTGGTGCAGTAAATAGAGCACTGGGGCTGGAGTCAGAAAGACCTGAATTCAAATCTGGCCTTAGACACTAACTAGTGTGACCCTGGGCAAATCACTTAACCTCTGTTTGCCTCAGTTCCCTCATTTCTAAAATGAGGATAATAACAGCACCTACCTCCCGGTGTTCTTGTGAGGATCAAATGAGGCAATATTTGTAAAGTGCTTAGAGCCTGGCACATGATAGGTGCTATGTAAATGCTAGCTATCATCATCATTATAATAATAATTACTATTATTATTATAAGTGGGTAGTGGGGTTGTTAGGAAGAGTGGTTTGGGATAGGGACCCTAGTTTATTACTGATGATAATCTCCTTTTTTGTTCCCTAGTATCAACAGACATTTTGAGGGCCAGGGTGCATTGGTGAGATGTTCAGATTGCTTCAAGTCCCAGGCAGTATTAAACCATCTGGCCAGTGGTTCCTGATCCTATTTCTTTCCCCTTCCCTCAGTGGGCTTGGAGACTGGTGTTGCCATAGTGATGAACTTTCTTCTCTTGGTGTGGCAGCAAGCCCCATATTGGGGGTGGCTGTCTTACTCAAGGCAATAGCAGCAACCAGTCCTGTTCTCTGCTCTTGCCAAGCTCCTAGGACTGTGTTGGAAAGTTGCCAGAGACATGGCTTCCTTAACCCTTCCCCAGGGGTCACTCTGATGGGTCCTGCCTCTTGAAGCTGAGCCACAACAACTTTCAGCAACCTGACCTGGAGCTCCTTTGAGGGACTTTGAGTTCTGCTACCCCGAAGGGCTCTGTAGCACCCAGCCCCAGAGGCCTCTGGCTTAGGTTTCTCGGATCAGCTCCTCAGCTATAACTGGCCCTGCTATTTCCCACCTGACTTTTCTGATGTTTTGGGCTCCTTTGAAAGAGCTGGGCCTTGAATACAATCTCCTCAAAGCCCTGAACTCTGAACATTTAGTATTTGGAGACCCTGGAATTTCTTGACCTGAGCTATATATAACTAGGTGGTTGTGCTGGAGCAGGGCACTTTTAGGGGGATGGGCTGAGGCCCTGACCTTGCAATAGGTGATTTTATTCCTTTCCCTGAAGTAGTTGGAATACTCTTATTTCAAGAAAGAGGTGGACAGGAATCTGGCTTCTGTTTGCAAATGATCCGTGATTATACAAATTTGACTTTGTATAAGGATTTGAGATGCCCATCTACAAGTATAAATAGCAAATTTTAGGTAACTAACTTACTTGGGGCCTGAACTTCTGGCTGGATCAAATAAGGATCCCTGCAGTGTCAGGCTGGTCAAAGTCCAGAAGTAGGGAGGCTGGGAGTGCCCAGAAATCAGGTACAGGTAGAAAGGTGTGTCAGAGGCATGACCCTTTTTTCCCCTCCTCCAGTTTAGTGATTGTTAGTCTGTAAGCACTTAAGAAGTAACTTCTACATGCCAGGCACTGTGCTAAGTCCTTGGCATACAAAGAAATGCAAGACAGTACCTGCTCTGGAGCTCAGTCTAATGAGAGACACTATGAAAACAACTATGTAGAAATAAAGACAAGATAAATTTAAGATAGTCAATAGAGAGAAGGGACTAGCATCAAGGGAAAGCAGGAAAAGCTAAGAGTAGTAGAGGGAAAGAATTTTAGGTTTCTTTCTTTGTGTTCAAGAGCACTGAGCTAAATGACTCCCTCAGTTCCTCCCTTACTTCCCATTTCTGACCCATTGTTATGACTGGTATGATGGCAAAATCTGTTCCAAGACTGGATTTCCTCCTGGGGATGTGGGGAGGGGGCAGATGAGAGTTGGGGATGTGGCATGCAGCAAATTTGGAATGGGGTACTGAAAAAGCCTTTATTAACACTCGCCTCTGCAGCCCTGCACATCTCAGGGTTTCATTGGTCAAAGTTTCCTGGCCTTCATTAAGGGCCCTATGATTTGGGGGTCAGTCTGAGCTTGTAGATGATGTCCAAAGAACAAGTGCTTTAAATTCTATCTCAGCTTGCAAGTTAATGACTAAGTGTTCCCACTGACCCATCTGCAATTTTGTCTTCCAAATCTGAATTGGGTATGGGGTTCAGGAGAAATAAACTTGTTGGAGAATGGTTTCTTTTTGTTGTGCCTTTTTTAGTTTGGGGCGGGAAGGGATCCTGAGTTTGGGAAGTGCTTGTTATTTGTCAACACCACCAGCTAACCACCCCCCTTCCTTTACCCCCCAACATCACCAGTAGTTGTATATAGTCATATCCCATTGTGCCCTCCACCCAGTGCCCCAAATGTCCGAACTATAACCTAGTGATTTAGATGAAAATAACAGCTTATTGTTCATTTGATGGTGTATACTGTGCAAGACATTGGACTAGAAACTTTAATACAAAGCAAAAGATGAGTGCTAGGCTGACAATGACTATTGAAGATTTTTAAGCAGTGATATGATAAAACTTTTGCTTAAGAAGATTCATAAAATCATACTAGAAGGGATTTTAGAGGTTATCTAGTTCAACCTTGTCATTTTATGGATAAGGGAACCGCTGAAGCCCAGAGAGGTTGAGGTTTATGCCCAAGGTCATAGAGGCAGTAAATGGTTTTAGAGCTCATGTCTGGGGATTCCAAATATAGCCCATTTCCACTGCACTATGCCTCTGATCTGTCTTGCAACTGGCAGGGATGAACTGGAGGCAGGGAGACTAGGAGGAAATGTTATTAGAATAGTCCAGGTGAGATGCCCTGAACTCAAGGGATGACAGTAGTAATGTTGACAAAATTGTAGTGAGTATAAGCTGGATTAAGGAGAAGGTGATGAGAAAGTTGAAGCAGTTAATGTTATTACTCTTTTAAAAAATAGATTTGTACTGATATCTTTTGTTTTTACCATGGCTAAGAAGAAATGGAAACCAATCAGCACATAGAAAAAATATGACATACAGTGTTCCACACTGGTGCACTGTCTCCTTCCCACATACCTCTACAAAGAAGTAGAAGTAATAGACTACTATAGAAATGTATAAAATTAGGATCCTAGAGATTTGGGAGGTAACTTCAGCAGCTAGGTGGTGAAGTGATTGGAACACTGGGTCTGGAATCTGGAAGACTTGATTTCAAAATCCTGCCTCAGACACTTTTTAGCTCTGTGACCTTGGACAAGTCACAAACTCTGCCTCAGTAATATATAATAATAATAATAATATAATAATAACAGCACCTACTTTTCTAGGTTAGGACCAAATGAGCTAATATCTGTAAAACACTTAGTACAGTTCCTGGCAGATATCAGATGTGGTATAAATGCTTATTTTCTTCCCTTCTCCCTTCAGGGTATCATTAAGGTATTTTTGCTTTGCTATGTAAATAGGGGAAGATCTGAAAATGTTAGAAGGGAAGGGGCTAGCAGAGCTCTGAGAAGCTGACAGGGAGGCTCTAAGCGTTTATATCACTTTTATTTTCCAATATCTCTCCCCCTTCCAGAGAAAGAGGATAAAACCTGTTCAACCTATTCAGCTGAGTACAATAGTATATGCAATTTTCACATTCACAGTACCCCACCCCTAAAAAGAAAGGAGTATGTTGGTCATATCCCTTCTTCAGAACCAAGTTTGGGTCCTTGTAATTATTTGACTTTTTTCTTTCATTTTTATACTGTATGTATTGTTTATAGTTATAGTCATTGTGCATGTTGCTTACCTACTTTTGCTTATTTGACTGCATCATGCTTCTCTGGTCTTCATAGTCATCCTTTTTTACGGAGCAGTAATATTCCATTACATTCATGTATCACGGTTTGTGTACCTACTCATCAACTGATGGCTTATTTCTAGTTCTTTATTACTTGCCCAGAAACGATCTTTGATCTTCGGGGGTTATGTACCTAGTAGTGGTATGTCACTGGGTAAAGACAATTTGCTTATCCTTAGCGTATTCCAAAGTACTTTCCTGAATGGTTGGGCTGATTCACAGATCTACTAATAAAAAAGTCTGTCTTTCCACAACTAAGAAATATAATTGATTAGAGAAAGGATCTGGAGGAGGTGGGAAGGATGAGATTGAATGGTCAAGTGGAGTTAGCCTCCAAGGATACCAGGAAGCAGGACACTTCTTCCTCTGAGTCAGAAAGGGTGAGTGAAAGCAGCTGCATTTTGTAGTGGAGAATGGAATGGTCTAGAAAATTCTTCCTCCGACTGCCTGTTTCAATGAAATCTACCCTTTGAAACCCAACATAATACCATCTTTTCCAGGAAGCATTTGGCAGGGAAGTGAACCCCCCAAAACAGGGGACTAACCTTCGTGGGGGGCATAAAGACAGGATTAGGCTAGGTAGGATGAACTAAGTTAGCGAACAAACGAATGAAAACGCTTCTTTTTAGCACTGTGCTAGTGTAGCCTTGCCCCCGGGGACTCTTCTGCTTTGCCTTGTAGTAGTTGCTGCAGCAAGGGACTTTGAAGGTCTCGTCTAATGCCAACCCCTCATTAGGGAACTGAGGACCGGAGAGGGGAATTAACTTGCCCACTGTCCTGCAGGCTTACCAAATTTTCAAAACACTGCTGAAAGAGAGGGAAATTTGACTACAGTATGGCATTTAGAGCTGAAAGGACCATAAGCGGTCCTCTTTCCCCCCAAACCCTCATTTCACAGGTGGGGAAACGGGACATCCCTCCTTCCAATGTACAATGCTCAATCTATTTGCACTCCTGAATCTGGATTTAAAATGACCGAAAAAAGCTGCAGTCAGCAGCTCAAAACAAACACGTGAAAACTGGCAGCGTGGGAAGGACGAAACGCCGAGCTGCGCTTTGTCTCCGCAGACTGACGTCCTCGATGCGCCTCCCCGCGCCAGCCGGAACCACGTGTTGCCCGGTGTGGGTCGGGGCTGGGCTCCGTTTCCGGTCGGAAGAGAGAAGCCGGCGGCGCCGGAAGCCTCTGTTCGCGTTCTCCCGTCACCCTTTCCGGCCCGTCCCCGCAGCTCCCTCCGGAGAGAGGCCGAGGTCGAGGCCGGGTGCCGACTGTCCTTCCCCAAGATGGCGGCGGGGCCGGGCCGGCGGCGGCGGCTGTTGCAGCTACTCATGCAGTTCGGTTCGGTGCTGCTCACACGGTGTCCGTTCTGGGGCTGCTTCAGCCAGCTCATGCTGTACGCCGAGCGGGCCGACGCGCGCCGGTGAGCTAGCTCGCTCGGCCACCGCAGGCAGGCGGGCGGGGGGGTGGTGGGTGGGAGAGAGGGGGTGGTGCAGGGAGGCGGGGGGAGGGGCGAGATGGGGTGGAGCGGAGCGGGGCGGGCGGCTCACCTGCTACTGCCGAGGCGGGGCGAGGGGAGAGAGACACCTACTGGGTGTCTGTTGTGGGGATAGTACGTGGGATAGCTTCAGGTGTGATAGGGAGGATAGCACTTCCTGAACTCTGGAAGAGGCATTCTTGCCTCTCGGGATTGGGTCACTATTGGGTGCCCTGGGTTGGGGGGTGGTAGTGCAAGGCTTTCGGGATGGGAGCAAGCAGTTCGTGGGATCTTAGATTTAAAGCAGAGCCTTTCTTTGTATTCCCCTCCACCCCCACCTTAGCACAGTGCTGACACACTAGCCGTTTAATAAATAGATGCTTCTTTAGTTGACTTGAAAGGCGCTTTACTTGAGGGGTCATCTAGCCCAACCTCATCTTACAGTTTGAGAAACTGGGAGGTGGGGGGTAGGGCATAGCAGTGTGGTAGTGACTTCCTCAAGGTCACACAGGTAGTGGCTGAGCCACGATTCAATCAATGGTCTTCTGACTCCAAATACCATGTGCTGTGATGCCCAGTAGGAACTTGGCATAGACACTGTGTCTGCTGGGCATCCTACAGGACCCCACGTTGCTGCTTTGCTTACTCTTCAGGAAGCCAGACATCCCCGTGCCCTACCTGTACTTTGACATGGGGGCTGCTGTGCTCTGTGCCAGCTTCATGTCATTCGGGGTGAAGCGCCGTTGGTTTGCGCTGGGAGCTGCCCTTCAGCTGGCTGTCAGCACCTATGCGGCCTATATAGGGGGCTATGTCCACTATGGAGACTGGCTTAAGGTGAGTGATGTCCTGGGCACTGGTTGTAGCAGCCTGAGCTGGGAGCGGAAGGGAATGGGCACAAGGCTAGAGTTTTTGTGCTAAAGCCATGCATGGTAGCCAGTGAGTCATTTTCTGTTCATGGTATCTAGGTGAGTGGGTATGGTGCCCAGTTAGTCCCTGTTGGGAGGGGGGTGTATGATGCTGGGGCCCCTGAGAATTAAGCAGGGACACATTTGGTATCTGTAGTTAGTACCATCATTGGTGTCAGTGGCAGGGAAGATGGCTTTAGGAATCAAGCTGGGAGAACTGGGGAGAGGGGTAGGGGAGGGGAGAAGAAGAGAGCATCAAGAAAGACTTCCTGGGGAGGAACATTTATGGTGTAAAATAGGAGAAATTGACTGTCTTGGGAAGGACAAAAGTGGAGCTTTGCTCTGGGGAGGCTTCTTTGGATGAGCTGTTTCTGATAGGGTCTTCTCTCCCATTTCCAGGTCCGAATGTATTCCAGAACCATTGCCATTATTGGTGGTTTTCTGGTATTGGCTAGTGGGGCAGGTGAACTCTATCGCCAGAAACCACGAAGCCGATCTCTTCAATCTACAGGCCAAGTGTTCTTGGGCATCTACCTCATCTGTGTGGTAGGTTGGGAGGGTTTGAAGGGTTGGGGTGGGTCTTTCCATCAACATCCATTCTTTGGAAAGAGAGTTCCAGTTAGCTGAACGGGGTGGGACTTCCCTACATTCCAGTGGAGCTTTGCTGGCGATCTGGAGGGTAGCTGGCATATTGGCCTTTTCCAGGAGAGGAAGGAACATCCTACAGCCATGAATCCTCTCTGCACAGCAGTTTGGCCTTACTAAAGGGCATGTTTCTGGGTGATTCAGGGAAAGGTGTTCTTACTTGCTGGGTTCCCTTTGTTCCTGGGATTGGGCTGGCTTTGTCTAGGGGTTTCTTTTATGTCAGCACTGACCCCAGGCAAAGGGTTGGCTTTGACCCTACAAATCCTAGTCCTACTTGAGAAGCCTGGGTTAAAAGGTTCATGCCAGCCTGAGCTCCAGTTGTACTATAGAGAATTTTGATTCAGTTCAGGGGCCCACATAAGACAGACTAAGTTGGGGTGGTGAGAGGGGTAATTCCAGACCGACTATCTTCTGGGGCAATTGTTGCTAATGGAAAATGAGTCAGCCTCAGAGTCCCATGCCTTATACTCAGTAAAGTTTGACTATTCAACTTGGCAATTCAATAAACACTTATTAAGGATCTGATCAATGGAGTGCCCTGCAATAGACACTGAACAAGACAAAAAAAGAAATAAGACCTGGGCCCTAATGTCCTGGAGCTTATGGCCTAGGAGGGAGACAAAACATGTACACAGATAACCGTAAGACAAAATAAGGCTCATAAAAAAGCTTTTGAGTGGGTGGGTCAGGAAAAGCTTCATTGAGGGGCAGGAGCCCTTGAGCTGAGCCTTGAGCAAGGGGTGAGTTATCAAGAGTACAGATGGGAGAGGGTCTTCTAGGCTTGACTGGGGTTGGGGTGGGGATTGCTTGTGTGTATTGGGCACAGTGGGAATGGAGGCAGAGGGGTGGAGATGGGAAGGCATGGCATGTATCAGAGCCATCCAGCTGGGTTAAAATCGTTTTGGAGGAGTCCAGACCTGTGATTTCATCAGCGTCAGGAATTCTTGGTGTGGAGACTCCTTCTACCTATGCAGATCACCAGTTTATCTGTAATTTATAGCCGTAGTGAACTTCTGGGAGACAGAGAGAGCTCGTAGGCCTCAAAAGCAAGACTTGAAACCAAGTCTCCCTGGTTCTTTTTCTACTTTGCTCTACTGTTCTTCTTGACTGGAATAAAATTTTGTATAAGATGTTGCTCCTGTTTTTGTAGAATGTACAGTTTGCTTTGGTGATATGGCACAAACAACACAAGTAGCCATGCTTCAGGGACATCTGATTTCACCAGTGGTCAGATGAATGCCTCCTCTGGCCTGCACTAACTCTCCTGTGGCTTGGCAGAAGGTGCTGGTGCGTCTCTGGCAGAAACACTTAGCCTTCTACCCTTCACAGGATGAATTTCTTCACGCTCAGCTAGGCTGGTCTGTGGCCATCCACCCCCATGCCTTTGAAGGCCTCCTTTCTGGGATAGTTCTGTGATTTTCGAAGATTTTCTTTTTTAAATAGTATTTTATTTCTTCCCAGTTACATGTAAAAATAATTTAACATTCTTTTTTTAAAAAATTTTCTTCCTCCTTCAACTCCCTCTTCCCTAAGATGGTAAGCACTTTGATATCTCTCTTTCTATATATATATAGATATAGATATAGATATAGATATATAGATAGATAGATAGATATAAATTTTTTAAGACTGAGTTTCAGAGAAGGTACTGATTGGTGTTGATTGGGGAGAGACTCCTCCACTGATGGAGCCACAGGTCTGGTTTAAAAGACAAAGTGTGTGAATGTTCATGTTTGGTCTCATCTCCTGCTTCCATGCCTTTGCCGCGATTCCTGGAATGGACACCCTACTCAGCTGGCCTACTTTGATTCTCTGTCTTCCTTGAGGGAACAGCTCAGGGCCCACCTTCTACAGGACACCTTTTCTTGTTTAGCACTTTCTCGCTCTTAAAAATACTGTGTGTTGCTTTTTTATACTTTGTATTGCCATATCTGGGTACGTGTTGGTATCCCCCACCCAGGAGGGATGTAAGCTTCTTTTGGGCAGGAACTGTTTAGTTTTTGTCTTTGTAGCTTCAGTGCCTAGCTCAGTGCCTAGGACATACTAAACACTTAGTACATGTTTGTTGAACTGAATTGAAATATGTGAAGGAAAGTAGTGTAAGACAACATTGCAAAAAGAAGGGGTCTCAAATGCCGTGCTTAGAAGGTTGGACTTGATTCATTTGCCAGTGGGAAACTACTAAGGTTTTTTGGGTAGTAAGTAATGTCAGTTTTGTACATTAGGTTGATTACTATGGCCGGCATAGTGAGATAGATTGAAGGAGATAGACATGGAGGTAAGGATATCTATTAAGCGACTGTGTCAGTAGCCCAGTAGCTGTTACATACTTGGTGCTTACTAAATGCTTATTGATTGATATAAAGATTATGGGAGAGAAGGTGTCAACAGTGACTCAGTTTTGTGTGTAGTTGCAGTACTACAGAACAGTAGTTACATCTATTCAGGGTGGTTGTCAATAAGGTCATGTTTTAGAGACGTTAAGGAGGAGGAAGACTCAGGTGCCATTTGTCAATTAGGAGATTATTAATGACCCTAAGAACGGTTTTGGGAAGAGTAGGGAAGAAGGAACCCCAATTGCAAGAAATTGAGTGGGTTATGGGGAAATGAAGGCTTTAAATAAGTATAAGCTGGTCTTCGGAGGTTTGTTGGTGAAAAGAAGAGATATGGGCTAGCAGTTGGAGGGAGTATAGGGGTAAAATTTGTTAGGAGAGAGAAGATCTTCCCCAGAAGGGAAGGAGTGAGTGGAGAGAAGGATTGAGCATGCAGAAAAGTCAGCTGGGTCCATTAGAGTTGGGTAGGGATAGGATTAAAAGGCTTTGGAATGAGGAAAGCTAGTAGGCAAGGGATTGCAGAATGAAGTGGGAGCTGAGGAATTGGAGGCGTTAGATCTAAATTACTCTTGCTAGAGGTTCATCAGTGGAAGCAAGGATAGAGATGAGGGCTGTGAGATGGTAGCTGGAGGAGTCAGCATAATTTAAGAATACTTTTAATACAACTACAAATGGGTGAATCAATGAATCTTTAAAGGGGGGTGATCAGTGGTTGAATTGAATTCATATAGAGGGGAAAATATTCCAGTTAGGGGTAATACTATGTCCCAGGGACCACTGACCTCCCCCTGCCCTCGCCCCAGGCTTACTCTCTCCAGCACAGCAAAGAAGACCGGCTGGCATATCTGAACCACATACCAGGAGGGGAACTTACACTCCAGCTGCTCTTCATCCTTTATGGTGTCCTGGCTCTGGCCTTCCTCTCTGGCTACTATGTGGCCCTGGCTGCTCAGATCCTGGCTGTGCTGCTACCTCTCATCATCCTCCTCATTGATGGAAACATCGTCTATTGGCACAACACTCGGCGAGTTGAGTTCTGGAATCAGATGAAGCTCATTGGCGAGAATGTGGGCATCTTTGGGGCTGCAGTGATCCTGGCCACGGATGGCTGAATGGCACCCCTTAGGGATGGGGTGAGAGGGGCAGATTTTTTTGGGGGGGTGGTGGTGCAGGGGATTTTCTTCCACAGGCTGTTTATTTATGCTTAAAAAAACACAACAAAACCCAAAAACTTTCTTTTGTAATGATTGACATGAAAAGGATCCCAGCCCTAGCAGCTGGGATGGAGGGGGGATGATGAACTCCCCCAGGGCTTTTCTGACCCAGGAAGAGAGGATTTATTTCAGGAGGGGAACCTCTAGGAAGATCTGGGGAGGCTTGTGGAGGGTGGGGCCAGTAGAGGAAGGGAGAAGCTGGATAGACAGAAGCAGACTAGAAGAGAAGCAAAGACACAGAGGACGACAAGGACCAGATGTGTGTATTTCTTTTTTTTTACGGTGTCCAGCATTTTGATAATGGTGTGTGTGTTGTGTGTAGCAACATGGACCAGACTCAAGAGTAGCCAAAGGGACTGGCCCAGCCCAGTTTAAGTTTCATTTGTGTTCTCTGGGTTTCTGGAGGACCGGGGCAAAGCTAGTCTGTTCCTGTCAACCCCCTTCACCAATCTGCTTGACACTCCTTGAATGGGGCCCAGGGTAAGGTGATTGAGAGCATGGCTGTTCTCCAACCCATTGTCCCCACTCTGATTTAAACCTTCTCCAGGCTCCACCACGTCTTTGCTCCAAGTTGTGAGATGGATGTCCTAGGGGCAAGAGCACCTCTCTACTTTTCTGTGTTCTCAGTCAGCATACTCCACCATCTTCCAGAAATAAACACTCTAAACATACTTTTGGGTTTGCTTTTCTAGTTTCCCTGCAGGCGCCTTTGATGTGAGTTGGTTTTTTACCCTAGGTCATCTCCTCTAGCACTTGCCTCTCACTTTGCCCTCTGTTTTGGAGATTCCATGCTAAAATACCCCTGTTTACAACTTTTGGTTCTGTTCCATTTTTGTTCTCCAGTTTGGGAGTTCTTCCTGATGGGTCAATTTATTTTTTCCTGCTACAGCTCAAATTGATTCTCCACCCCACACTCTCCAGCCTTTTTTTTTTTTAATGAAGAAGTATGTGGATACCTGATTTCTTGTGTAACGAAAGAGTTAGGGACTTATTTCTGTCCAAATGTGCAGGAAAGGAAAGATGACAGTGGCTGGAATGGATTCATGTCCCCTGGCTCCCCAGTATCTACTCACTGGAGTGTGGGCACCTGCTTCTGCTTTAACCTGTCTTTTAGACATTGGCAAATAGTCCCATTCCCCCAAACTCCAAATCCAGCCTGTCATCTGAGCTTTTAAAATCAAAATGTAGATGGGTCTGCCTCTTTCTCTTTCAGCTGATGCTGGCAGGTGATATTTGCCTTAGCAGCTCTTATAGGATAAATGTTGCTTTTCTGTACTTACTGGCTTTACAGAAGGGGAGAGGAGGGGAGAGGAGGGAAGATCCCTCCAGAGGCCTGTTTTGCCCATCTTCTCACTTTGGATCAGGAAGATGAGATTTTTTTGAGGGGTGAGGGTAGGGTTGAGATCTTTGGCTATAGAGAGAATAGGACTTGGGATAAGGACTGAGGCTGCTGCTGGCCTGATTTGGATGGACAGTGACTATTCCTGGACCTGAAGGTCACTGGGAACTGTACAGGAGATCATTTCTGCTCGTCCTTTTCCCTCTTATAGAGGGTAGGAGTAGAGTCTTTCAGTGAGGGGCAGTGTCCTGGTCAGTAGAGTAGACTTTGACAATGCTCCCACTTTGCTATTTTTCTCCCCAACCCCAGGAACCTCTTCTGTATCCTATTTTCTCAGGACTTTGCTCTCCCTCTGTTAATTCTCGGTTCCCCCCCACCCCCAATCTGAGAGCTGAAAGGAGCTAACATTTAAATAGGAGACTCAAGAAAAACCTAGGACCTGAAGAAACTAATCTTAAATGGTGAATTTTAGGAGTAGTGAGAGGCAAGGGTAATATTTGGGAATAGGAAACTTCAAATCACACATGGAGGTGGCCCGTGTATTTCACCCACACATCAGTTGACCTAGGTAAGGAGCCTTGATGGGATTGGAGTTCCCAGGCATGGTGAAGAAATAGATACTAGTTTCTTTGGAACAGCTGTCAGACTTCTGGACAGCAGGTTCCAGATACCCATACTCCATTCAGGTAGGCCAGCCTCCCTGTTTCTGCTGCTTCACTGGCCCCTCCCCAGAGTCTAAGGACCTCAAGGCCTTCCCATCTCCCCTTCTATTCAAGTAAGCCCAGGCCTGCCTTCTAACTTCCCTGGGACCACTGCCTCTGCATGGTTTTTGCTGTGCACTCAGCTGGGCTGGGGCCCGAAGGGTTGATGGTTCCTATCAGCTGCCTGGGTCAGAGGCTGGTTTGCAGAAGGAGTCAGGCAGTCCCTTGGCATGGTTAACAAGCTCATAGGAGTCCCGGATGTCAGACAGGCCAAACCAGAAGAAGATCCACTGTTTGTTGGAGAAGCTGCCATCACAGTTCTTAAAGTACCTGGAGTGGGAAGGGAGCAGTGGATAGGCATGTCAGTGCATGAGACCACTGCCCTCCTCCAGTCCCAGCACACCCAATTGCCACAGCTTGTGGGAAGGATTCCTGGACTTGGACTCTGAGAGGTCTATGTTACCCTCTTTCTGGCTAGTGCCATGCTTTGTCCAACCAGGGGGCAGATTCTTGGTTTGAAATGCTGGCTAATACTCTCTCATTATCTTTTTGGCCTAGCTTGAATGCCTCCCCCTCAGCAGGGCAAGGTCGTCTCGCCTTGAACACTAATTATTGCCTGTGAGAAGAGAATCCACTGGAGCACAGCTGGGAGGGAGGGGCAGGGGATGGCCAGTGGAAGCAGGAGAACCATTACCTATGTCTAGCCTAGGGATTCTTAACCATTTTTGGTGCCATGGACTCCGTTGGCAGCAGTCTGGGTAAGCCTGTGGACCCCTTCTCAGAATCATGTTTATAAATGCATAAAATACAGTACGTTGGGTTACAAAGGAAACGTTGAAGTGCAGTTACCATCTTTTTTGTTTTAAAGAATGCACAGACCCCTGGTCCAGAGGGGTGGAGAGGAGGCTATCTGGTGGAGGAAATCATTGAATTAATATAAAGAAAAGCCTTCTCCCGGGTGCTACAAGTTTGTTCATCTGCCAATCAGTTGTGCTTATATATAGTGCCTGTGTATGATATGCTTCCTAGAGGCAACAAGCTTGAATAGAGCTGATGCTTAGTGAGTAGGGGGAGAGTGGGTGTAGCAGCTAGGCCTAAGGTAGGACTAGGTCCTGGGGAATCAGAGGCACTCAGCTGCTTTCTGAGATGGTGAATAGAGTGTTTAACTTGGCCTGAAGCAGGGAGAGGCCAGGAGGAGAATCCACTCTATAGACCAGAGTGGAGATCAAGCTGAGTATAGACTGCAGCAGAGTGGCTGAACATACCTTCCTAGGTTTAAGGAATCACTACAAATATTTTCCCTTTTGCTAGATGAAACTGAATTTTGTAGCTATCTTGTGAGTTCCAATCGGTATAGAGCCTGTCCCTTCAGAAATCTCACACCTAGATGGGTCTATGAATGTGTTACTCCTCACCAGCAGGGATATGACAAGAGAAAGGGAATGGGTAGATGCTATGATCTCTGGAGAACCCCTGAGTTCTGGAGGACCTGCAGCGACGGCCTCATGGCACACAGAAATGACAGGGTATCTGGAGGTGACGAAGGAAATCCAGGCCACAGGGTGAAGGTGACAGATCTGGTAGTTCTGTGGTAGCAATAGCATCTGCTGCTTGAACCCTGGACTCGGAGGGAATATTATGGGCACAGTAGCCCAGGGTGTCACTCATACATCTGTGCTGTGGTATAATTGTAAATACATTGGACCTAGAGGCAAGAAACCCTGATTCGAGTTTCTGGTCAGTCACTAATTTGCTTTGTGACCATGGGCTTCAGGTTTTGGGGGTTCTTGTTGATCAAATGATGGATCTGGACTAAATGATCTAGATCTATCCAGTGTCTTTCATTTAAGAGTTAAAATATAGAGGGCAGTTAGGTGGTGCAGTGGATAGAACGTGGGCTCAGGAGTCAGGAGGACCTGAGTTCAAATCTGGCCTCAGACACTTGACACTTAATAGCTGTGTGACCCTGGGCAAGTCACTTAACCCCATTGCCTAGCCCTGCCACCCCAAAAGTTAAAATATAGACAACCCCTGTGCCTACCACGGGTTGATGGGATTGGTGACACGGGATCTCCAGAAAAGTCGATGCAAGTCCTGCCGCATGCACTCCCATAGCATCTGGCCTGAGCCCTGTCCCTTTCTGCTTGAGTTCACCACAAACTTGTCTAGGTATGGGGTGCCTCCCAGCACAGGTTCAGTGGTCAGGATGGCTGCAGCATTGTACCTGGAACCAGGGTGAGTGGGACAGGGTCAGGGTTTCCCCCAAGCTGACCGGCAGCGTCCTGGGCCTCTCCTTCCACTGGCTCAGACACCTGTGAGGCTTGTCAACATTTCCCATTTACAGTAGTTGGGTAAATTTGTCTTCTGTCTCCCACCTCATTCTCTCTTGCCTCAGCCCCTCTCTGACACCTTCAGGAGCCATAGATGCTACCCATGGCATATGCACCACTCCTGGGTCAGCACTGCCTTGGCTCACCCTTCAGAATAGTAAATGGACTGCAGCCGTGGTCGAAGAGAGGCCAGATAGTCGTCCCGAAGCTTCTTGCCAAAACTCGCATTTATGAGTTCTACCAGCCGCTTCTGATCCAGCTTCTCTAGTCTGTCTACTCGAAGCATCCGCTCAACATTCTTAAAGAGGGTCCCTGACCCTAGAACAGGGAAATAACGGCAACTAAACGGCTGACTCCCCTTCACCACCTCTGCCTTGCCATGGAAAGTTAACAGGGATTGCATTATTACCTCCCCCTGCCCCCAATCCCGTACTCCTAAGGCTGTCCAGGGTTATCTGCTCATCAGTGGGCTACCCATTTTTTTCCTAACTCCCCCAGGAAACAAGTAGAATGTGGTGCTGACCTGGTCTGAAAAAGCATCTCCCCATAACTCCATCTGCATTTTGGTATAGCCAGTCTCCCCACTGGGAAATCTCCCCATGCTGGTGTCACCACCTTCCCCTTGGAACCCATAGGAACTAACTAGGGGGGACAAGTGACCAAAGGGAGATTGCAGCGAGCCTGCCTTGTGTGTTGCTTTAGTTGCCAGTCTTACATGTCCACTGGCATCCTGCAAGTATTCATTTGGTAGATATCTCCCCACTGGCTAGGCTTACCCTTGTAGCTGAAGAGTTCAGTAAGCAAGGTATTGGCAGATGTTATAACAGCTGAGGAGTCATGGGATAATCGGCCTAGTACATCCACAATGAGTCGCATTTGCTGCCTCTCCTTGCTGCTTACCCACTGGGCATTTGTCACTAGGTCCAGGTCAGCTGGCAGGTTCACATTACTCAGAACCTAGGGACAGGAAGAGAGCATGACAACGAACCTATCATTAGCCCCTTTCTCTGAGCCCAGACCTTGCTCAAGAACTTCCTATCATGATCCCTCTTTCCAGTGATTTCCCAGCCGCCATCTTGTGTGCCCTCATAGTGTCCCCCCAAATTCAAGGGCTGATGACACAAAGTGACATAATGAAGAGAACAGAATCAAAAGAACCATGCATGGACTAATGTAAGGATATTGGAGAACTGACAAAGGAAGTGCCCTCCCTCTTGGGAGAGAGTTGAGGACTTTGTAGTCATGGGCAAATCATTTCCCTTCGTTGTCAGACATAGTTGCCTTGAGTTTGGTGGGGGTAGAACAAGGGATGTTAGAGGAAATGACAAGCATAAAAACATAAAGCAGTAATTAAACTTTAAAAAAAAATTTCAGAGGCTGCTCTGATCTTAAGGGGTTCCCTGCATATCACCCTGACCCTTTCAGTGTGGGGTCCTGGGCATCCCTGAGCCCAGAGGGAACAAGTGTAAGGTGAGATACGGGAGGTAAACAAAGGGGGCTGGATAAGAGACAATTGAATTTTGCTGTTTACTTAGGTGAGACTGAGACAGGGGTCAAGACCCAAGTTCCTGGGGTCAAGGTGGGATGAAGAAATAGAAAAATGGAGGATTGGCAAGGTGGTTGTGATCTACCTTCTGATTGGCATCCCGGAGGCCTCCAGTAGTGTTGAGGAAGATGATCTTGGTGGGCCGCAGAGCCTTGGCCAGAGCAGCAGTGACCTCCAAGGAATTGAGCAGCACAGAGCGCCGGACACCTGTCTCGCCAATAGGACACAGGATGGGGATGCTACCCGACTCCAGGCACCATTTTAGCAGGTCTGTCTCCACAGAGACAATGCCACCATAGCTGCAGGTAAGAGTTGCAGTAGGGGCTCAGCTGTCTGGGGTTCCATAACTCAGGGAGCAGGAAGTACAGATAGGCAAAGTGCCAGCTTGCTCCGATGTGTGGGGAAGTGGCAGGTTTGGAAGCATATGGGCTTAGGAAGGGAGGGTACTATTAACCTGGCATTGGTTTGCAAAGAAGAGTTAGAGAATTGTACTGCTAGGGTTAGGGAATAGACTGAGTTAGCCGTGGAACTCAGGGTGGGTGCTACATACACAGCATAGAGTGATTAGCACTGGGTAGCAGCAAGGAAGCTTGAATGTGCCTAGGGAACAGTAGATGGGGAAATGAAAGGCACTTACGTGGCATGGGGGGCAGGTTCAGCAGCGCTCAGCACAGACCCTCCCCCAAAAAAGGGCACAGCAGTGGCTGCATTATGTCGTAGGGAGTCCACAAGGACCTTGCAGCTCTGAGCCATCTGGGCCTTGGCCTCCCAGAATGAAAGGCAGCCAGAGGGTGCAGTGGGTTCTGGAAGTCCAAGAACCACAAGTGGCTTCATATCCATCCGTTGCAAGAAGGCCAGAGCAAAGGCCAAACTTAGGACTGCCTCTTTGTTCTTGAACACAGTGTCATCCACCTTTAGAGGAGGAGGTGATGAGAACATTGGAAATAGCCCAACCATCCTGTGTAGCACCTGCCACTAAATGTGCTTTTAATGTTCTCACCCTTATGTAACCCAATGTTGCTATTGCTTTTGGTATCCTTGATATCTGAGCCTTTCTCTGTGTAATGCCAATATCCTCCGTCCGTCCCTCTCCCCCCCCCCCCGTATCTACACCAGTAACCTCATACCTACGTAATGATCCCATACTCTCCTCTGCTGCCATCTGCTAAGGTATCCAGGGTCCATTGCTGACCATGCCCCTTTGTCCTGGCCCCAGTCCTTGGTGTCTCCCCTCAGGGTTCTAGCTTTTCCCCACCCCATAGTATAGCCATGGGAGGCCTTCAGTATGGCTGTAAACCTCTGGAAGTTTAAGCAGCATCTTCCAGGATCCTTCCCTTTTTTTCCTCCCAGACCATATGCCCAGTCCTCAGAGCTCTGATTAGTCCTGCCCTTCACTCCTGGACTGGTGCCCTACCCTTTGTTCTCCCCACCCCTCAATCTCATCCTGTTCCTTCAACATTCCCCTCCCCCTCTTTAGAGGTGGCCTTGGACCCCAGGGCTTACATAGGGCAGGGTAGGTGGGGCACTGGTTGTTGGGGGTGGGCCAAGGACGAGCAGGCTGTTGTCCTGTTTTTCCTTCCTTAACTGCTAGTACCTCTGAATCCAACCTCCCTTTCCAGCTCCTTCCCAACCCTACTGGTTTCTGTATTTCTCACATGGTATCTTACTTGCTGTCCGGTTTCCACTTGCCTACCCTACTTCTCCCACCCCTACTCTAATCTGGGAAACATCCCCCACCATTACCCTAGCAGTCAGTGGTCAGGCCAAAGGAAAGACCTCCCAAGATGGGCCTGTCCGCAGCTGGGATAGTTCCTTTTCAACCTCACTCACCCTGCCCATCTGCAGGGCCAAAGGTGCCCTGTGCTCAGTTGATTGCACTAATGCCCCATTTCTGTCGCCATGTAACCTGCTAGGGGCCATCCACAACCTCCTCCCCAGCTCCTCCAATACGTGGAGCCTCATTAGGTTTGCCCATCGGCCCCAACCAGTGATATGGCAGGCTTCCTGTCACGATTTGCCAAGCCCCATATCGAGATATGCCAATGTCGGTTTCTTCCCAGGACGTTCCTCACCTCGATGATGGCAAAAGGTTTATCCGCCGAGTCATAGGTGATCTGGAACTGGGTGAGCCAGTGCTTCGCCTCCCAGGGGCTGGCTCCACACTCAGTCAGGAACGCCTGGATGTCCCGCTGGACCAGTGAGCGGCTGGAGGGCGGCGCAGGGGCCACGGTGGGCGGCGGCGGCGGCGGTGCGGCTGCTGAACCCGGGAGCGTAGCGGTGGCAGGCGGTCCCGCTCCCGGAGGAGGTCCCTTGTCACTGGCTGTGTCTTCGGAATCCCGCTCGGCCTTCTCTCTCGGCAGCTGGGTCCGGACTTGGGCAGTACTGAGGAGGCGACTGGGGCTGGCACCCCCAGATCCCCGGCGCCTGGGACTACTGCTGAATTTGCGGGCACCCCCCAGGGCTGGGAGCCGCGAACTTGCTCCTATTCCTGCAGTGGCTGCCACTCCGGCCAGGGTCCGAGTCACCGGAGCTGTCGCCATGGTAACCCCTCCGGCCCCTCAGCCTGCTACAGTATGGATCCTGCACCCAGCTCCGGGGACACTCTTAACTCTCAGGGGGGCGGGGTCCAGTCCTGAGGTAACTGGGGGGCGGGCTCCCCGCGGAGTTGGGGTGAGGGAGGGCAGAGCTCAGCTTCGGGACCTATTTGGGGCGGGGCCCAGAGAGGGGCCACCCAGGTGTCCCATCCCGACTCCCCCGCCCAGGGAAAGACAACCAAGTAAGTCCTAAGTCATAAAGTCCCTGAGATAAGGCGGTGGGAGCGGGGCAGCCTTTGATCTGCTGCCAGGGTCAGTTCCAGGAACAGAACAGGAAGGGAGACTTGGTCAGAAAAGCATGGTGGCAGGGGTGGGGCCAAGGGAGAGCATATTGACAGTGGGTGGGAGAGGAGCTGGGGGTCCAGGGGCTGAGGGAGAGTTGCGGAATCAGAGAGAGATTAAGGGAAGACTGGGAATTAAGGGCTCCCAGACCCTCTCCACTGGCCACCTTTGGAGCAGAGGGAGGGAATCAGAGGGCAGAGTGCTGGAACAAGGATTGCGACAGGAGTCAAGGATAGGACGTGGGAGAAGGCATAGGGATGAGGACACATGGTTTGAAGAGGAGTGGACTAGAGGAGATTGGGAGGGAGGGTTTCGAAGGTCAATCTCTATCCTCCAAAGTTCTGCGGTCTTCCATCCACTCTCCCCTGAAATCAGGATTACCCAGTTATGGAATGCCCACTTAGTCTCCCAGTTCCTAATCTCAAAGGTCGAGTGTCCCATGGGATAATGACACAGGTCATCTGCATTCCCCTGCCTTCCCCCATGTAAACATAGGCTCTAGTTTGTTTTTCTATCACTTGCTGTCGTCAGCTGGAGTTTAGAGAAGGGGAGGGAGAGGGGGAAAAGCAATGTGGTACTTCTAACTAACTGGATTGATTTTTCCTGTTTCCTGCTTGGGAATTCAGGAGGGGAGCAAGTCAATGAGCCAATGTCATCAAGGATCCTCCTCCATATTAGTGGTCTGCACCCTATTTTACTCATCTTCCCTCCTAACCCTCCTTTTTCCCTTCTCTCTCCTCACTACCCCAACTGGGCCCAGATCTGCTTAGAATCAGCTTGCTCCTGACACAGAGACCAGCAATATTGATAATTTCCCCCCTTCCTTAGCCCTGCCCACCTCAGTAGCTATTTCCTCCTTGTCTTAGAGGCAGACCTGGTTTGTACCTGTTTCTTACCTGACATCATGCAGCCAGTCTGAAAACCTATGCCTCGTCTTACTCTGTCTTTGAGTTTTGGCATCAGGCATCCCCCTGGGTCAGGATCCTCTTCTACCCCCTTTTCCCTGAGTCTTGTCTCTCCCTGAAGCAGTCACCTTCAGGAAGCTGGTCTTGAATCCCTAACCCTCCATCCTCTCCTCATCCTTCTACCCTTGACGTGGATTCACAGCTCTCCCTCCTCATCTCCACCTCCTGGGTGTCCTGGCTTCCTTCACGTCCCGCCTAAAATCCTCCCCTCTACACAGAGCCTTTCCCAATCCTTCTTCGTTCTAGTATCTTCCCTCTGTTGATTATTTTCTATTTATCCTGTATATGACTTGTTTATGTGTAATAGCTGTTCCCTTGTTGTCGTTTTCCCCATTAGATAGTGGGTCCTTTGAGAGCAGGACTGTCTTTTGCAGCATTTAGCACAGTGTCTGGCACATAGAGATGCATAACAAATATTTATTGACTCATTGATGTTAATCAGCAAGTGTTTATTAAATGCCTACTATGTTCCAGGCATTGTGCTGAGCCTTGGGCATACAAATACAAAGGCTGAAGCAATTTCTACTCTTGAGTAGTTTATAATCTGACAAGGATACACTAGTATTTATGTTTATATGTCTATATCTATGGGCAGCTAGGTGACACAGTAGATAGAATGCTGGGCCTGAAGTCAGGAAGACTCATCTTCCTGAGTTCAGATCTGGCCTCAGACACTTAACTAGCTGTGTGACCCAGGGCAAGTCATTTGTTGAGGTCTAGGGGTTCTGGGAAGCCCAAAATTCAAGGGCAGAAGAAGCGGGTCTTGCCTCAAATGAATCCAAGCCTTCTTTTAGTCAGAGACAAGGTTTATTATTGAGGTGGGCAAGATTTTAAGAATCTGCACATTTGTGACCCTTGTATTGACAACTAGGCCAGAAGGAATCTGAGCATTAGTTGGGGGCAAGATGGACACTTATATACAGCGGTCAAGGAGTGAACAGAGAAGCACCTGAATGGGCTGGGTACCCCAGGTGAATGCCAGGGATCTGGAAACTGGGGACCTGAGCCACCTGGGAAAGTCCAGGGCCTTTTAGCAGTCCATCATTAGCACCCCATATTCCCCCCTCAAACAAATGGGACCCAAATTCTTTTGGAGTAAGAGCGAAGGTCTCCTTTCTGAAACTGCTTCCTGCTGGCAAGGGGCTTAGAGCTGTCCCTGCCTGGAGGGGGTCCCAAAGAGGAGGTTGACTGGAACCGAGCCAGGCTGCATCCAGGGGACGATGGGGGGACAGTGGCTGGTACCCATGGTTTGCTACCAACTGTAGGTGAATGGCCTGTAGAATGGAAGACACAAATCTGACAAGCAAGTCTGCTGGGCCCAAATATAGAGAGAAGTAAAAGTGCAAGAGCCCCATTAAAATAATTTACATTTGACCTGCAAGATTATCTGATCTCATTACTTTCTCAAAAGTTTAAGCCACACTTTTGCTGGTAGAAGTTCTTCTCCCTGCCCCATCCTCCCCTCCGTTCCTCCCTACCCTTCAATAGTTATGCAAATAAATTTGCCAGAGACTGACTTTTATTTCAATGATAACAAAAGATTTGGGAGAATACTTAAGTAATGATTAGGCCAAATAGGTTACCTCCCTCTAAGAAAATTGACGTCACTGAAATTTTCCCCAAACCAAACTGCAGAAGTTTCTGATTTAATTTTAGTTGTTTGGGGTATTGAATGACTATGCATTCAGGTCAAAACAGCAAGATCTCACATACTTGCAATATGCTTTTATTTTTTACTGTCTATTTGCTCTGACTATAGAAATTTGCTGTAAAAGGATAAAGCAGAGATAAGATTTAGGGCCCAAATATGACAGGATAAAACATCCTTAGCTCTGTATGAATTCAGATAATTCAGTTTTCTAACCATGCAGTATCAAATCCACCTCATAGCCAGTCTCAGGAATAGCCAGGTGGGTAACTTTTCAAAGGAATATAATGGGGAAACTGAGCCAGGAGGATCCCATCTTAGACTGAGGCTAAAACCGTCCTCTCAGCTTTTCCCAGAGGCAGACCTCTAACCTGTATCACATTTTCTCTGAGTAGCTTGTGGCATTTCTCTCAGATAGTGAATTATTGATTATGGATGGATTATGATGATCCATCAGACTACTCAAAATAAAACCAAGTATGGCCCCATGAGCTTTTACCTCAAATAGCAAGTTTCACTAATCACAGCTTAGGGAAAAATTTTCCAGGATTTGCATCTCAAATTTAAACTTGTCCTGGTGTAAAAGCCAATTGTTAGAGATCATTTCTATATACTTGCAAATTCTCAGCAAGCCAAATTCATTGTTTAAAAGTTGCTTGACATAACCGATACAAAAGTTTACCAATCTGAAACTTGAAATAAACCCATTACCAATCAGGTGACTCCAATTTTGTTGAATGCATTTCCAAATTACACAGAGAATTGGCATGTCATCATTAACATGTTAAAACCTGGACCTGGAAACCAGGGACCTGGGCCATGTGGGAAAATCCAGGACCTTTTAGGAGTCCATCATTAGCACCCTATCAACCTAGCCCTGCTTGCCTCAGCTTTCTCATCTGTACAATGAGCTGGAAAAGGAAATGGCAAATCACTTCATTATCTCTGCCAAGAAAACCCCAAATGGGGTCATGAAGAGTCAGACACTACTGAAAAACAACTGAACACACACACACACACACACACACACACACACACACACACACAGAGACTATATCTACTTATAGCTACATATTCACTACACTCATCTATATACACATGCATACAAGATAAATATAAAAAGAAGTTACATGGTGCAGGGGATAGAGCACTGAGTTTGGAGTCAGGAAGTCCCAAGTTCAAATGCAGCCTCAGACATTTACTAGCTTTGAGACCCTGGGCAAGTCACATACCCTGTTTGCCTCAGTTTCCTAACCTGCAAAATATAATAATAGCACCTATCTCTTGTAAACTGTTCAGCACAATGTCTGGAAGATAGCAGATGCTATATGAGTATTAGCTATTATTATTTACTAAAATAATAAAAATAAATAAATAATAAAATAAAATAAAATAAAATTTTCCCTGTTACTATTATTAAAATAAATACAAATAAATAGAAGATTGGTATGTAAATAGGGAAGGAGGGTACTGGCAGTTGGGAATCTGGAAAGGCTTTATGTAGAAGGTGGTGCTTCAGCTTTCTCTTTTTTTAAAAAAAAATTTATTTTTTCTGATTACATGTCAAGATAATTTTTAGCATTCATTTTTTGTAAAATTTTGAGCTCCAAATTTTCTCCTTTCCTCCCCACCCAAGACAGTAAGCAGTTTGAAATAGGTTATATATATGCAATCATGTAAAACATTTCCATATTAGTCATGTTGTGAAAGAAGAAACAGTTTGCAAAAGGAAAAAATTATACAAAAAATAAAGTGAAAATAGTGTGCTTCGATCTGCATTTAGACTCCATCAGTTCTTTCTCTGGATGTGGGTAACATTTTCATCATGCGTCTTTTGGAATTGTCTTAGATCATTATATTGCTGAAAAGAGCTAAGTCAATCATAGTTGATTATCACACAATGTTGTTGTTACTGAATACAACCATCTCTTGGTTCTGCTTACTTCACTTTGTATCAGTTCATGTAAATCTTTCCAGGTTTTTCTGAAATCTGCCTGTTGAGCTTCCTCTTAAAGGAAGTGAGGAATTCCATTGGGGGAGGTGAGGAAGGGAGTCCATTCCACATTTATGGAGAATGATAAGTACAAAGGCTTACAGATGAGAGATGGAGTAATGTGTTTGAGGAGCAGAGAGAAGACCAAGGGAAGC